TCACCATCAGACACATCCACAACTGAGCGTCCTTTCGGCTTTGGCCCAGCCGCTTCACTCTTTCTGGGGTTACTTGTACTTGTCCTCTGCTCTTCCTCAGTAGCATATTGGACACCTTCCGACCTGAGGGGCTCATCTTCCGGCGTCATATCTTTTAGCCTTTTGATACTGTCCATGGGGTTTTCTTGGCAAAAATACTGGAGTGGGTTGCCATTTCCTTCTCCAGGTGGATCACGCTTGGTCTGAGTTCTCTGCTGTGGCCTGTCCGTCTTGGGTGGCCCTTCACGGCATAGCCCACAGCTTCATTGAACTGCGCAAGCCCCCTCGCCACGACAAGGCAGTGATCCATGAGGGGCCACAAGTGATGGGCCACTACATAAAAGTGCCTAACATCTGGTGACACTCTGGACAAAACTCTATGGTAGAATTAGCTTCAAACCATAGAGTTTTGCCCCCAAAACAGAGTGTAGCCCCCACGATGTCACCAATATGTGTATGTCACTTTCGGGTGATGTAGGCACGTCACTGACATCCCTGACGTGTACGTCACCTGGAGGGGGCATAGGAACGTCACGCTTCTTCCCTCCCCTCTCTTCGAGCCTCCTTGTAAGTCCACCGCCGGCTTGTGGGCCAGACTTGGCAACCCTACTTTTCTCGTAGGGCTTGGTCCCCAGGCCCCTGATCATCCTTGATCCCGGTCAAACGAGCGGGATGATCCACTGCCAAAAGGAGGCAAATTAGAGCCGGAGCAAAAAGAACCGCGGGAGTGCAATCTGACGTGCCCCCACGGCTCTATGCTCTGGCAGCTGATCAAATGTTGTGCAGCAAACCGGCAGTAGCACAGTTGTGCGCATGCGTGGGATGGGGAACGGCGCTGGCTGCGACGGGCTACCAGCGCTTCCCCGACCAGACGCCTGGAGTTGCCGCACATCATCCGGAAGGTAGTGCTCTGTTGCTAGTACCTTTTAAATGTGCATTTTCGGGCCGAAGGGACGGATCGGGGATGGGTGCGTGATGCTTCCCAGATGTTGCGGTGTGCTTGATGCGCCCCCGATCTGTCCCTCTTGCGGGGCAAATCCTCCTGTGTGACCGGGGCCCTCATTGCTCTCTTCTGTTTGGAGGCTAAGGCCTTCTACGGCTGTTACCTGCTAGCACTGAAACCTCTGAATATGGAGGTTCTCATTAGTCACTATGGCTAGTAGTTATTGACAGACCACTCCTCCGTGAATCTCTCTAACCCACCTTTAAAGCCACCTGTGCACAGGGTCATCACTATATCCACTACTAACTCCAAACCAGTGGCACCAATGGTCCAAACAAGATAGGACCAGGCCAGACAGGACTCTGAAAGAATATTCAACCCCTTGCCTTGCTTTCATCTAACAGGGGGGGGGGAACCTTACTCCCCCAATACCTTGGTAAATTTTTTCCTCCCTATTTCTTTCTTTCTTTCTTTTTGCCCAAGGAACTTTTCAAAGAGTCGGGAGAGATAAGAGGAAGCAGGCAGGCATCTATCACATGTCATCCTTATCAGTTCTAGAATGGCTGCTTGCTTAACAAGACTGAAGGAGATTCATTTTTTCCCAGCAGGCTGCCAAGGTGGGTGGAAGTCAAAACCGTATTCATTAACC